GGTTGTTGTCTCATTGACATATTCCCCATTTCCATTCTCAATTTTATTGAATATAATTTGGAAAGCCGGGTCAAAGTGTGCTCGCGACTAAAGGATGCTATCCTGTATACTACTGGTGAAGAAGCAGAGTCAAAGTATGCTCGCAACTTCATAATGCTAACCTTTATACTTCTGGTGAAGAAGCACACGCATAATATACAACACCATCATTACTTTCGGTTTTTATCTTAAAAATGCGTCTTTTATATTTATTCTTCTATATAGCTTTCATTTATTCGTTGATCAAGAAAAGAAAAATGGAAGTTGAGTACTTTACAAAAGATTGACCTTTAACATCCAGATTTGACCTGTACTGATCAAAGAACATCGTCAGTGTTTGCTTTTATCTATATAAAAGGTTGGTTTTTGGTCTTTTGTTATTTGAAGAACTTGTTTGCAGTTTCAGACAGTCTAGACATTTATTAACAACTTTTCGCTTTGAATTTGGGCAATTATAAGGATGATAAAGGTTGGTATTGTCTTATGTTGCTGATTTAATTTTATTGATGAGTAGTTGTCAATTTGATATAAACTAAACTGAGCATATGTATTTGCTTTTTACCCATTTCTTTATAAACTGTACTTTTTATGAAGTCGTGTCAGTCCTGCTTTACGTTAATTTTATTTGATCGAGTTTACCTTTCATTCATGTTAGATTTCTCTTAAAATATCATTTCCAATGCTTCACAATTAAGTATGTGAGAAGAAATACAGCTGGCAAATTAAAAATGCTATTTGCTGATTTATTCAACCACATTGTTTACACCAAAATTTTATAAAGAACAATATTTGTCAATATACGACTTTTTAACATTTATCAGAATTAAAATGTTTATTTTTTACTAAAACAAATTTTGATCAATTGTTCGTTATTAACAATTTTCAGTATAAAATGCATAATTAATCTTGATTGATTTGTGGTGAAATATAGACAATTGTATAATGCATCTTATTTTATTACTAAATGAGCAATATAAAAGGCTTCTAGAATCAAACTTTCAGCACCACATTGGACCACTGCACCGAACCTGAACAAGTAAGTCTCAATATTTTCTGTCAGTTTTGAATTGAATTTCGGTTCCTCGGATATTTCTATCCATTGGATAGACATACCTAACTTTTTTGTTTCAAAAGATAAACACAAAAAGATTTTTGTAAAAACATTTGGAATATCTTATTTACATAAGTATGCTCTAAATTTGTGCAACAATTCTTTGGAAATAATTCGTTTTTATTAACTTTTCATACTTTTAGATAAAATCGTCTTTTTGGCTATATATCTGTCTGATTAAAAAAAATCATCCGTGATTTCTTCATCAAATTTGGAACAAATAAGCATCACACAGTATCAAGTCAAATATCATTTAAAAAAAGAGGGGTCCATGTACTCGTTTTCAAGCTAATGATTAAAATCACTCGAAAAAATGAATTTTTTCCCGATGTATCGTAGTTTGACGTCGCGAAAAATAACATTTTACGATTGCAACGTCATATTCTCCCCTGTAACTGTATCGTATGCCCTTGATTAAATAAATAAACAACAAGCTTCATTGAAACCTGGAAATGGAAGTTGATTTGGTAAAATCTGCAATTAACATAAGCTCTTCTCTGTGTCATTTGTCAATCGGCAATCCTCGGGTGAATCCACTACTAAGGTACGGAATCGGCCGAGTTGTGACGAATGTGTCACTTGTGTCATTTTTATTGTTAATGTCAATGATGATGCAGAGTATATTTCAATGAAACAATACGGTAAAATCATACCAGTTGTGTATTTCATTCAAAACAAATGGGCAAATAGCTACTCTTTTTAATTAGAATATATCCTTATTACTAAGATATTCAAAATAAGTGGAGAAGAAGAACTCAGTCGTCAGTGACATTTTAAGGTAGACTAAGTATGAATGGTCCTCTGCCAACATGGAATCGTAGTATAGCAGAAAGCAATTGCCATGTTTTTCTTATGTAATAGGCAAATTTTGAGAATACTGAATACTTTTTGATTGATGCTTTTTCTTTATATTTAGCCTTATAAGAGACGATAAATCAGATAATATAATTTCATAAAGGAATGTAAAGCAAACTTTAAAAAGTTTGGCATGACACGGGTTATGTTCTTCTCATATATTTTATGACGGTATAATACTAAACCCCTAACAGGAGGGATTGTGCCTGATATTCATATGATGAAGACATAATCTTTCAATCAGTTTAATTGAGGTCTGGAGCTGGCATGTCAGTAACTGCTAGTAGTCGGTTGTTATTTATGTATTATTGTCATTTTGTTTATTTTCGTTTGTTTCCTATTCTGACATCGGACTCGGACTTCTCTTATACTGAGTTTTACTGTGCGTACTGTTGTGCGTTTGTTTTTTCTACATTGGCTAGATGTATAGGGGGAGGGTTGAGATAGCATCAAACATGTTTAACCCCGCCGCAGTTTTGCGCCTGTCCCAAGTCAGGAGCCTCTAGCCTTTGTTAGTCTTGTATCATTTTTAATTTTAGTTTCCTGTGTATAATTTGGAGTTTAGTATGACGTCCATTATCACTGAACTAGTATACTTATTTGTTTAGGGGCCAGCTGAAGGACGCCTCCGGGTGCGGGAGTTTCTCGCTGTGTTGAAGACCCATTGGTGGCCTTCGGCTGTTGTCTGCTCTATGGTCGGGTTGTTGTCTCTTTGACACATTCCCCATTTCCATTCTCAATTTTATTTAAATTTTTGTATTATAGCAACAGTTTTCTACAAGAAATTTTGTAACAGATATCTCCTCATATTTTATTTCAAATGTCCTTTTTTTTGTTTCAACCCATATGCTACCTCAAAATGAAAAGATCCTTTTATTTTCACTGACAAGCGATAAATTGTAATAAAAAAAGGACTTGATCTAAATAACTTCATTCTTTCGTTTATTGAAAATTATATTCCAATCGAATGCCAAAATGGTATGTTTAACCATTAAAGTGTCTTTTAAATGACTTTCAGTACTTGTTTGTAACACAAAAATTATCCCTAGGTCGAAGTCTTTTTCTTTCGACTTGGAAGATGACCTTGCAATGATTTTGATTTTTTTTTTAATTTAGATATGCAGATAACACTGTTACGATATCTTAAGAAGAGAAAAACACAATTGCAATATATTTTAATTCTTTCATGTGAACTCTTAAGGTGGCAATTGAAAATTATCAAGTGTAAAACAAAGTATAAATAGTTTTAAGTAGTACGGTTTTTAACATTCGAAATTTTACTTGAATAAAAGTAAAATTAAAAGGACCAACAAGTTATAATATTGTATATTATTTGCAAAAAGTGGACCAGATCCTTTTTAAACACTTGAAAATGTCTGAAAGAACAAGAAAATATTCAATGTATGAAGTTAAGAAAAAGGAAAAATATTTGTTTCTGCTAAATTGCAAGCTTGATTCATTTGATAAATATAAATAAAAAGAGGTGTGATACAAATGTCAATAAGACAGAAACAAAACAATAAAAAAAAATCAAATGACAGCTAGAGGTCTTTACATATATCCCTGTGTGGCTCAGAAGTCCGAACAAAGTATTGAATCGCAATGTTTTTTCCTATATGACTATGCCGTTCAGAAGTCTTGGACTATCAACAGTTGTATATATTAGAATTCGCGCATGCGCTATTTTGTAAATATGTACTACAATTGAAACAGTCTACTCCGAATAATTTTTCTCATGTAGATATCTAAGTAGATATCCGATAGATTCAAATTGCTTGTAAATTTGGTATTTTGTTGAAGAATATAAATGGCAAAGATAGTAAAGTTTCCTCTCTTTAACACAAGTTAATTTATTTATATTTAATATATTTCATTTATTGTGACTTTGATTAGCTAGTTTTGCCTAATTGAGAAAGAACACCTTCATGATTAAACGACTATGATTATATCCTGAATGAGCCTGTAATCAAATGATTGTAGTTGGTTTGTCTGTTATAATTGTTTTTGTTTGTTGTAGTGAATCATACCGTTGGCTTCTTATTTGAATTGATTCACATTTTTAGGTCATCCAGGGGCATTTTAAAGCTTATTTAAAGGTATATAGAATGCTTTACTCATTGTAGAAGGCTTTGCGGTTAGCCTGTAATTGTTCTCATCTTGTCCTCTGGTTATTTATGAATAATAGTCTCATTGGTGCCTATATCAATCTGTAGAGATGTTTTCAAGATAAATAAAATTGAAAATGGGAATGGGGAATATGTCAAAGAGACAACAACCCGGCCAAAGAGCAGACAACAGCCGAAGGCCACCAATGGGTCTTCAACGCAGCGAGAAAATCCCGCACCCGGAGGTGGTCCTCAGCTGGCCCCTAAATAAAATTGTGTACTAGTTTTGTGACAATGGACGTCACACTAAACTCCAAAACATATAAATGAACTAAAATTAAAAACACATACAAGACTAACAAAGGCCAGAGGCTCCTGACTTGGGACAGGCGCAAAAATGCGGCGGGGTTAAACATGTTTTGTGAGACCCCCCCCCCCCCTATACCTCTAGCCAATGTAGAATAAGGAACCATGTTACTAAAAGTTTAACTAGCGTTTTCACTATAAATTCATCTAGCTATATTGATAAAATGAAATATACAAATCTCTTATGGTTTATTTTACTTAAAACTTTACTTTTACATTTGTATATATCCCAATAGTATTATCTATCAAGAGACTAACAGAAATTGGAGTTATTCTATTCAAATTGAGAAAATTGAATATTCTGTAATTAATCAGAAAACATTTAAACCGTTATTTATTTTGTGGAATAATATGAAACGGCGAATATCTTCTGTCCTAGTAATATATTTTAAGTCACAACCACAGATATAAAAATGTAAGTTTCATGTGAAAAAAGTAGTGTTCATGTACATATTTAAAACGTTTGTGGCCTTTTTCACACACAAAATATATGAATGATTTATATAGTTTTTGTCTACGACAGAATGAAGATCGCAATTTGCGTACTGATTGCCATCTGTAGCGCTGTAAGCGCATTCTCAAAAAGTGGATACAGAGGTGGTGGATACGGTAGAGGTAGATACGGAGGAGGTGGATATGGAGGATATGGTGGTGGTTTAGGAGGATACGGTGGTGGTTTAGGAGGATATGGTGGTGGTTTAGGAGGATACGGTGGTGGTTTAGGAGGATATGGTGGTGGTTTAGGAGGATACGGTGGTGGTTATGGAGGATACGGTGGTGGTTATGGAGGAGGATACGGAGGAAGATACGTAGGATACGGACAAGTATTTGTTGTAAGAGGAGGAGGATATGGTGGTGGTTATGGAGGATATGGACAAGGAGGATACGGTGGTGGTTATGGAGGAGGACTTGGTGGTTATGGAGGAGGACTTGGAGGTTATGGAGGAGGACTTGGAGGTTATGGAGGAGGACTTGGTGGTTATGGAGGAGGACTTGGAGGTTATGGAGGAGGACTTGGTGGTTATGGCGGTTATGGTGGTTATGGCAGGGGTGGTTATGGTGGTTCCGGTGGTTATGGATATAGAAAATATGGAAAGGGCAAAGGTAAACTTATAATAGAAAGAACAAAGGATATGGGGTATCCATCCATGACACAAAATCAGTACATGCACAGCAAAAAATACACCAAAATCAAAGGAACAGCGCTCTTATTGCTGCTCTTCATCTCAAAGTCACAGTGAAGCCTTCAACACGGAGCAAAAAAACTCTCACCACACTGCAAGTTTCAGACGGCCCGAAGCACCGGCTTGAGCGGAATTCTTTACAAAGATAATTTGGATGGACGTTGTAAGACGTAATGTTCACCACCAAATCGGATGTCTGTTTTAATTGCTCATAGACTAGCTTGCTCTCATTTATCTGTTTAATTACAGTAGATATGTTGGCATAAAATTCACAATCCTCTTTCTACATTGCTTTTAACTATAAATCATAATGGGCAACATGCATAATTTAGCGGGAAAGTGTAAATTAAGAAATTGTTGTCGTCAGTTTCCAACAAAATTAACGTAGAATGCATACACAATTTTTCTTTCTTTCGTGAAACCGATAGATTAAGTCTATTTCAAAAGAAATCTTTGAATCTATATAGCAAAATTATCCGGATGATAAGGGAGGACACAACGTCACAAGGCTAAATATCACAGAGTTAAAAATAAATTTGAAAAATGTGTTCCCATTAGAAACTTCAATTGGTATTTATTATCCGAAAATTAAGACTGTTTTATGAAATCTTTTGTTTGGTTTTATCCATGTTTATAAAATTTTTCATTTACATTCCGTTTTTCTTTTCTTTAGTGTACTAAAATGAACTAAAGCTTGAAGTTTAAAATTACATATATAGAAGGAAGAGTCCTCTGAGCAAATAATTTTTCCTGTATGGAATATGTCTTGGTTAATTAATAATTAAGTCTGAAAAAATGACAGAAACTCGATGTCTTCAGAAATCATTTTTTTTTAATTATACGTATCAAATGAAAGGTTATACCAGAACAAATCCGCGAAGCATCCTCTGTATGAAAAGACACCGACTTTTGTTCAGTGATCCTGCAAGTGTACCATAAATGTTCGTCAGAATAATTAGTCGAAATAAACCAAAAGTGAATACTGATTATCAGAGATAGTAAAAATCATACCAAAGTTTCCCCGAATTACAACCCGACAAAACAATAAAACTAAAAAGACACGTAGGTTTCTCTTACAAAAATCTTATTAAATTAAACTGAATTTAGAACTTGACACAACTACTCAAATCATAACACAAACTGATAACATAGTAAATATAAAAATAAGAAGATGTGGTATGATTGCCAATGAGACAACTCTCTACCAGAGACCAAATGACATAGAAGTTAACAACTATAGGTCACCGTACAGCCTTCAGCAATGAACAAAACCCATACCAATGTTATGCTATATTTTACTTTTTTGTTTTTCAGGATATTAAAAGCAGATTTTTACCCAAAACGGACTACGAATGATATTCTTTTTTATATATCTGTTATAATATATAATCGTTGCATTCAATTTGTGTTGATTTTTTTATCATAACTCTAGATCTATAGTCACTTCATAGATTGAAGCACCACCTAGACTGAAGTCGCATTCTGTTGAATGGGAACGTCAATTTCTGAAAATTCACGTCTTAAATTATGTTACATCAAGATCTATCATACTTCCATTCTCTCGAAAGGTCATTTTAAGTAGGATTGAATTATTTTAAGTAGGATTGAAATATCATCATGAAGTATAAAGGTACGTAGACCTGGATGAAGGGCAGGAAATTTGGACTACCACTGGAAAATGGGAATATGTTGGCCCCCTTAAATAGTGGTTGCAATGGTTCTTTAACGTGCAGAAAGCCATTACATTACATTTAACCAACACAAGGCATTTGATTTGACGTCCACATTCAGATCGTACGTGTCTGTGTAATTATACATCGATCATTCAATAAGGTAGGTGGCAAAATATTTTCAAAACAAAGTTTTTTTTACGTTTTGAATGGCATTGATCTGTACAATTCATAATACAAGTATAGTATACCGAAGTTAAAAAAGAATCTTAATAGTATACTGATAGAGCATAACCATATAGACTTCACCACTCTTATCGATGTCTGTTCTTCAAATAGGAGTTCAATCTGACGTCAGCATGTGATTGATGCCCAAACTAACTAAAAAAAGAGCCCCAGACGCAACCATATTTTGTTTTTGCATTACCAGATTGGAGTATACTCAAAGAATCCTCTAACTAAAACCAAATAGTAGTTATTCATTTATCCCCTATTTGTTCTATATTTTTTTCTCTATAGTGATCTTATTTTTTTGTATTATCCTGTCTAACTAAAAAAAAAAACAATCCTGACATCCCTCGGTTTGTTATACGACAGGAAAGCCTTAAAATATGCATTATCTATAATTTATCCTCTCAAGCATATAAACTTTATTTTCCATTATAAATCGGTGTAGTAAAAAAAGAAATCAACACGTTAGAAACGTCATGCGTCTGAAGAGCATTTCTGGATTTACCTTCACTAGGGAAGCCCGAGACCGAATACTTAAAATCCAGGTATATCTAAGAACCGAAACAATTAAAGAGCTACATTTATAGATGACCAAAAAGGACATAAAAAAAGCCAACTTTGCCAGAGGGAGTTAAAACCTTAGTTTCTTTATGATTTCAAAATTCATAAACGGACAATTTTAGAAAGGATTGTTATAAATCATGTTAGTACCAAAGTACTGACTACTGAGCTGATGATATACTCGGGGATTGATAGTTCACCAGCAGAGGTATCGACCTAGTGCTGTAAAAAATAAAAACAACACTTTATAAATTTAATGCGTCAGAAGCGCTTTTCTGGATTTACCTTCATCAGGTAAGCTCAAAGCCGAATACTTCAAATCTAAAAATGTATAAGAACCGAAACAGTCGAAGAGCTTCATGACAAAAAAGGACATAAAAAGAATAGCAAAATCCATCTGAAGTTTAGTTTGCCTGAGGGAGTTGAAACCTTAATTTCTTAATAATTTCAAAATATATAAACGGACAATTTTAGAATGATTTGTTATAAATCATGTCAGTACCAAAGTACTGACTACTGAGCTGATAATACTCTAGAGGACTTATAGTCCTTCAGCAGAGGTATCGACCCTGTACAGCAAAAAAATGAAAACAACACGTTATAAATTTCATGCGCAAATTGATGCTAAGAACAAAAGAGGTTCTTAGTGCGGTGGAAACAACCATTTCTTTTTTTGTTTCCAAGTCAAACTTTTGTTCGGCGCATGAGGCGAGAGAAACCAAAGGGATATTTAAATTCAAAAGTCGAAAACAAAATGACAATGTTAATGGCAAAAAACGAAAAAACGATTATCCCGCACAAACACCAGTCTCCCCCTTAAGTATGAAATATTTACATCTAAAGAGCAAAACAAAAAATAAAAAGAACATGACCAAATATGTTAATAATTTGTTTTCTTGAATAAAAAAGTTGCAACATAATTTTCTATTATATTTCGTTCGTCCGTGTATTTTATATTTATTAGTTCATGCTTCTTGTCAGTTTATGCGTTTGAATGTCCCTTTGGTATCTTTCGCCTTTCAGTTCTTTTTGAATTCTTTATTCCGGTGCATTCCTGTCATTGTTTTCCAGTTGTCATCAAAGCCATCTCCCATGTTTTTGACATATTTGATTCGAACCCAACAATTTGGGAGGGATATCCTCAATATATTCGTCGTTTCTCAGGCCTTTAAGTATATCGATCTCCAACGTTTTTTCAGTCTTTTAAGGGTGTTTTTCACTGTTGGTTTGAAATTAAATTATCTATGAGCGGCAAAATGAAAATAAGACTTTATAAATGTGTTGCGTCCGAAGCGGTTTTTTTAAAATTTACCGCCAAAAGAAACGCTCAAACTCAAATGATTGAAAGCAAAGGATGCAAAAATTCTTGAATATCTGCAGATCTATATAACAAAAGGTACATCAAATGAATAGCAAATCTTTTAAAGGTCACCTTTGCGTTAAGGAGTTGGAACCTGTTATATCGTTAATTTCTTAATAATTTCTAAATAAATCATTGTAGATGTTAAGAAAGCTTTGTTTTGCATTATGTCACTATCAAAGCATCTATTATTGATATTGCATGCAATGGATCTGGAACGATCAAACCAAAATATATAACCAAGAATGTGTAAGTATTTGAATACGGGAAGAGCTTTATGACTAAAAGTCAGTAACGGGTATACAGGGTTTCCCTATCAAGTATAAGGACAGATCTTCCGACACAAAAAAAACATAGTTGACACTTTTTATAATCAGAATCAGAAGTCACTTGAATATCGATAAAGCTAATGTTGTTTTAGATATTTGGATGATATATTGGCTCTCAATAATGACGACTTCAGTATGTATACTAAAGAAATTTATCCTGTTGAACTTGCTTTAAATAAAGCTAATACTAACAATGACCACTGTCCTTTCCTCGATCTTGATATCTATATCATGAACGGGAAGCTTAATACAAAAATTTATGACAAAAGTGATGATTTTTCATTTCCTATCGTTAATTATCCATTTTTAGATGGTGACGTTCCCTTGTCACCATCTTATGGTGTTTATATATCTCAACTTGTACGATTCGCTCGTGTATGTAACAACGTATTAGATTTTAGCGAGAGAAATTTATATATTACTGAAAAATTATTACACCAGGGTTTTCGATATCATAAAATAGTCAAAACATTTACTAATTTTATCATCAGTATAAGGACATCATTCGTAAAAATAACTCAACATGCAGACATCTTATACGTTCGGGTATTTCACATCCAATCTTTTATGGTAATATTCTTTACAAAGCACAAAAATGTCAGTATTCACCTCAAAAGCTAACAAAACCTTTAAACAGACTTATTAAGAAGGGATATAGTTACGATACTGTTGTCAGGTCATTAAAGATTGAATATTTTGGCTTTAATATTGATTCACTTATAGGGTCTTTGCATTGGAATTAAACACATTTATTCTAAAACCAGTTGTTGACATGATACGGGTTATGTTCTTCTCATATATTTTATGATGGTATGATACTAAACCCCTAACGGGAGGGATTGTACTTGATTTTCATATGATGAAGACATAATCTTTCAATCAGTTTAATTGAAGTCTGGAGCTGGCTTGTCAGTAACTGCTAGTAGTCCTTTGTTCATTTATGTATTATTGTCATTTTGTTTATTTTCTTTTGTTTCCTATTCTGACATCGGACTCGGACTTCTCTTAAACTGAGTTTTACTGTGCGTACTGTTGTACGTTTGTTTTTTCTACATTGGCTAGAGGTATAGGGGGAGGGTTGAGATCTCAAAAAACATGTTTAACCCCGCCGCATGTTTGCGCCTGTCCCAAGTCAGGAGCCTCTGGCCTTTGTTAGTCTTGTATCATTTTTAATTTTAGTTTCCTGTGTATAATATCGAGTTTAGTATGACGTCCATTATCACTGAACTAGTATACATATTTGTTGAGTGGCCAGCTCAAGGACGCCTCCAGGTGCTGGAGTTTCTCGCTGCATTGAAGACCCATTGGTGGCCTTCGGCTGTTGTCTGCTCTATGGTCGGGTTGTTGTCTCTTTGACACATTCCCCATTTCCATTCTCAATTTTATTCATTGAGATATTATCAAAAGAAAAGTCGTCTAATCTGTAAATTTACCGATTGTGTATATTTCATGTTCACGCCTCACCAGTTCAAGCGCTGAAATTGTATATGTGTATCACACATAGATATCTGTCATTCATCATATTACAAGGAAAATGCAAAATCACGATTATTAACTGGTTTACAACTATTAGGATTTTTTTTTCAATTGAAAGAGATGCATATCTTGTATCGTGAATGCCTTTAGATAGTTATCTTTTTGATTGACAAATATGAAGTTTTGTTAAATTTTTCGGATATTCGAGACAAAATAATTCCTGTACAACAATCAGAGATGTCCGTTTAAAACGTAACTTCACACTTTAAACATAAAGTAATCTCTTCTAATGTTAAAGCTAAGTTCTCATTAGACAATCATTGTCGATTTTGATTGTTAATACAATGCATGAAGAAGGAGACCTGTGATATGCACATCTTTGAAATATTAAGAGAAAGGACACCATCTTTAAGAGGAACGTCAAATTAAAAGGTATTTCTATTTTCTTTTCATTTTTAGATACCTGTATATGAAATCTAACTCAAACAAATAAAGAAACATGTCGTTAAAAGTGGAATTGAAAATAAAAAAAACTAGTATACCCCTCTACATGTTCATATGCCTGTCTAGTAATTTCAGCTAGCTTGTCCGACATTTTTTATCATTTCATAGATACACTTTGTAGATGAAAGTGTGCATTCCTGTTGAAAATAGGGACTACATTTCTAAATATCGTAATTTTGAAAATGTTAAAT